AACACCAGGGAGGGAGTACCTGCCCGAAACGTTATATGATGGGCCAAAACACTGTGGTAGGGGCTAGGGATATAGTTCAATTGGTTGTGTTTGTCCAGCATTAAGGAAGCCCTAGGTTCTACCTTCAGCACCAAATAAATGGGATTTGACAATGAATGATTAATCTCAGAATGGGGGAGGTTATTCTTGGTCACATAGTCAGCCTGGGCTACATGAGATTGTCCCCAACACCACCAAAAAATGACACCAAAACAGCAAAAACAAGTGATAGCTACCGAGTATGGAATGACCAGCTTGTCCTCTTCCTACTGCCACATATGGCAGGAGGTCCCACAATTGGAATCTGGACTCATTCATCCTTTCAATAAACATTTATTGAGCACCTACTGTGTGTCAGGCACTGTGGCTAGGTGCTGGGGATACATCACTGACTAGCACACAGCCCCTGCTCTTGAGGAGCTCACAGTCTATTGGAGGGGAAATATAAACACAATCAATGAACTACATACAATGTGCTACAGTAAGAGGTATATACAAAGTGCTGTGGGAGCCAGGGAGAGGGAATCACATATCCCGCAGGAAGGTGTGGATCATCACTTGACTCCTGACTCCATTTGGCATCACAAAAGCAGGGGTATTGCTGCCACCTGCCTCTGGTTAGAGTAAATCTGTCTCCTGAGGTTCTCCTCTAACCTCTTCCATAACTCTTGTCAGCAGGGTCAGTTAACTGGTTACCTATTTAACACGCTGTGCAGGAAAGAAACGGGACAGGAAGGCATCTTTTAGGATTAGAGAGGATGTTCAAAGTAATACATATCCTGGGTGTTAAGACAGGGAACAAGGTGTACCGTGGGGACACTGGGACAGGAATGGCATGCCCTGGGCATTGAAGCACCTGGGGTAACTGCCTGAGAAGAGAGGAGGACAGAGAGGTCACCTGCCTCAAATTTTGGTACCCAGATCCCATCAGATCAATCAGTAACTAGTCATTGATGCGCATTTTCGTCAATGTGTGCCCAGTTTTGTGGGTGACACAGTGATGCCTACCCCTCAAGGTACAGATCTACACTTAAGATCTAAGTAACAGTTTGTGATTACAATAGAGATGTCACAGGCTGTTTATAATTACCTGTCCATCATGTGGCAGTTACAAGTTTAAGAATTAAACTTAGAAACTGGCTGTTTCTGCCAAATTCAATCTAAAGACACAATTTTTAGTTGTTAGTAAGAGGATAGAGCATTTTGGCTGAACAGAACCCAGAAAAGAAAAGGCACAGGTGGGAATTTATGGCAGGAACAAGTTCAAAGACCATCAAATTCTTTCAGAGTATAGTACCTTGGAGTGGGGTGGGGTGGAAAAAATTGACAGGACCCAATAGGGAAGGGCCACCGAGTTGGAGCTGTTTCCTGGTGAGGCTGATACCAAACTTTAGATCTTTCTAGAATTACTGCTCACAGCTCTCCAAGTGCTCCCCACTTCCTTTAGGGCCTCTTGGGCAGTGTCCTTATTTAAAAACTAAAGGGTTATTGATAGGTCTCTAGAAAAGAATGAAGGATGAATATTTTACATACTGGCCCTACATGCAGGCAAGGACTCACTGAAGGGTTTTTAGCAGAGGAATGATATAGAAAGTGGTCTGCCAGATGGGAAGTACTAAGAAGTCACAATGGACAGGGTACTGACATATATTGGGAAAGAGGAAGGTGAGCAGCATGAGTTAGGCTGGAGGCTCTGGGAATGAAGACAGGCCAGATGTCAGGATATGACGAAGAGGGGCAGGCTCAAGAGCATATAGCCACCAGATAGCTCTGAGATTTCCAGTCTAAAAGGTCAGGAAAATGGTGGCATCATTAATAGAAGCAGATCACTAGAGCTAGCAAGGTACTTAAAAGAAGCAGGTTCTGGATTTAACTTATCTCAAAGAACTGGCCCATGATCATAGTGGGACCCTTGGAGAACACCCAGACATAAAGAGATGATAAGGAGCCCACACAGAAAACAGAAAGCACAATAGGTATAGAAGGACACAGCAAGTGTCGGCTAACAAGGACTGAGAACCATGGAGAAGATGAGTTGACTACAGAAGTGCTGACAGCCTTAGGATAATTTCCTTGGGGTTAGGAAGTGTATGCAGATATTAGATTCCAGGTTGATGCAGAGCCATCTCAACTCACACTGTGCCTTTGTGCTCATTAAAACTGGTTGAGCTGAGGATGTAGCTCAATTGATAAGAGTGCTTGTCTAGCCTGCACAAAGTCCTCAGTTTGATCCACAGAACAACATGAACTGGGCATGGTGATACACACCAGAAATTCTAGCATCTGCAAAGTGGGGTCAAGAGAACCAGAGATGAACCATATGCAAATTGGCCATCTTCACCAACATAGCAAGTTCAGAGCCAACAAGGGCTAAACGAGAGTCTCAAAAAACGATCCCAAAACCCAAATACAATAACAACAGCAACAACAGTGGTAACCTTTTCTCAAGATGCTTCCTTCTAGCCATCAAGATATTGTCATCACAAGCTGATTTTCTTAGAACAGACATTTCAGTGCCAATTGCTGAGAATGTCGCAAATGCACCTGCATAGCAACAGATGGTTCCTTCACCCAGGAAAGGAGAGAGAACAGTAAGGGAGAATGATGATGACCAGCCAGGGAGGTAGTTAGTTCAAGTGGGTGCTTTGGCACAGAGGACATAGTGAAGGTCCTGGAGCACTGATTCACATTAACCAAATTTACCGGAGGCTAGACTTGCTTCTGGGCCTGCCATCTCTAAGCATTACCACTAAACCTGGTAGAATAGAAGCATGTAGATTCAATGAAGGGTGATGGGGACCCTCAGCTGAGAGACTGGCTAAGAGAGATTAGGAGAACCCTTTGCATAAACATAAAAGAGAGAATCGAGGAGTTGTGTGCTGACAGAAGCTGTAAGAACTCATGTGTGTTCGCTCCTGATCTTGGTCAAGAACGAGTTGGGTTAGGTGGTAGCTGGAAATGAAAAGCAATGGTCCACCTAAAGTCTTTCATAGTCACTGTGAGAGGGAAAGAGTGGGAGAGAGGGCAAGATTGTATGGCTGAAGCTGGGTTGCCACTGCAGTAGCCTCAGCAATTCATGGCAGGTGGAATACTTCAGGACAAACAGAATGAAAAGGGAACTCAAGATAGGAAAAGAAGAGCACTGTGTCAAAAAAGACTATTGTCAAGCATAGGGCTGATTTTTCAACAACAGCCAAAAGCCCTGGCCACAAACTTTCAATCTGCTTAGGCCTGGCTAGGGACTTCATAATTGGGGCTAACTACAGGAAAGTGCTTTGCTTCACAACCTTTAGCAAAGTATTTCAGGTTCTAGCCTGATGGCAAGGTGACTATGTCAAGCAATTGATCCCAGGGCTAAGTGTGCTCCTTTTCCCTCCCGTTTTGGTTTTAACATTTGTGGCCTCTGGTCCCTTAGTGATGTCCTCTCACCATGTGCACTCATTGAAGCCCTCCTACCTAGACCTGTTCCAGCTTTGTGACATCTCTCCAGACTTGGGTGTGGGGCGTGGCATCCAACTGGTAGCTTCTAGTCTCAGAATGGCACTGTGGCTGGCAAGAGATAGAGATAGAGAGAGAGAGAGTGCTTTCTCTTAAAACTGCCTCATGTCTGTGGCTGACCTAGGAATGGGCTGGGACACACACACACACACACACACACACACACACAACTTAAAGACCTGACATCCACATCCTCTCCTCCCAAAATAAATGAAGCTACAGACCCACAAATGCACACAAATACATCTGAAGGTATTCACATATGGGATGGGAAGTTCCCTGTGTAAAGAATATGGATAACAAAGTATGACCAGACTTAACTCTTCTCATGAAGCCTCTGACCAACTCTGGCCATAAGCTGCTTCCGGGCTGTGGGTTTCCCTCCATCACCAAGTTAGCCAATTATCCTTCCAAGAGCTCTTGGAGTGCTATGGTCTAATGCCAGAAATGCTTGAGCTGGGCATAATTTTATCATGGTGATCCCAAACAGGCCTGGGGGACTTAGACTCAAATGTATCACACCCCACTAAATGTAAGGACAGGTATACTACTTAAGTCCACATGAAAATGCTTCACAATTTTGCCTAGTGAGCCATACTTTTGTTCCCTTTGTTTATATGTCATGGGGCTCCATCTTAATGAGGGAAGTGGGATTGAATGGAGAGAAAGGGGCTGCTGGGGTTGGGGAGCTGGTCGGCAAGCTCCCAGATGTGGTCACACTAGGCTCAGATACAAATGGGGACCCTGAGCCTGATGAGAGCTCAAGTTCAGCCACTGGGGTTAGCCCAACAGTGGGACGGCTGGGGGAAGATAAAGTCTGGTTCCCCACAAGGCTCAGGTTATGGGAACCCCTTGAAAGCACCTGACTCTGAAGTGGCTGAAGATGAGCCTGATCTCTCAGGAGCTCTCTCAGGGTCTCTTCAGGAAAGAAGAGCCCCTCCACAGGGGGGCCTGTAACCACACCCTGCACATATGACGAAGACCTAAAGGGCCCCTCCTTTACCCCAGACACTGATGTACCACCAGCAGTCCTGATGAAGGCAGCAATGACAGTCCCAGGGGGTTGAGAGCTAGGCCCTGCTGACCCAGCACCTAAGACCTGAGATGGTACTGGGTTGCTCGAAGGGTTAGCCCCAGCCAGAAGTTGGGAGAGGCCACTGAGGATCAATGGGGTCCCTTGGGTTGACACCTGGTTCTCCTGGAAACTGGTTTTGAGGGGGAAGGAAGCCTGCAAAGTGATCGTGTCCTTGAATGTTGACACCTGTGGAACACTCTGGAGAACAAGTTGAGTGGGAGCAGTAGTACTGGCAGGAGGCCCATTGGTCAGCACCGTAGTCAGAGGGATGGTCTGCAGAGTGACAGTGGAGCCCGGCCCCACTGGGGTTACTCCTAGGTGGATGTTACTGGGCACTGAAGAAGTACTGAGAAGAGACAGAAAATAGAGCTGGTTAAGGCAGGAGGTACCCTAAATGGCTAGGAAGGGGGGCACAAGGGGAACAGAGTTATAGGTATGCTGTGTCTTTGTTGTTCTAATATTTACTGATCTGTAGAAATCTGAGATTATTCTAGAAGACGGACACTGTTCAAGCATCAAAACTGCCCATGAACTGAACAAGCATCATTGAATTATACATTTTGAGGAAACTGAGTCACACAGCTCACAACCCACAAGCCCATGAAGCTAGTAAAGATTGGAGCAGGGACTTTGCATGCAGATCTTATGAAGCCTAGAGCTCAAGCTCCTCACCATTCAAATCTACTGCTTCCCCTTCTCTGAAGAATGTCCCTATGACCCAAATCAATGTAGCAGGTAGAGACATGACCCCAAATCCAACCTTTTCAGAGGAAACCGCAGGCCCCTGAGCACCAAAGTAGTGAGTGCTTCCCAAGAGGACTGGAAGAAAGAGTTATGTCTGCAAAATACTCTGCTGTCAAGTAAAAGAGACTTAATGGCATGGGGCTAGATGCCACTAGGGGCCAGCTGGCTCCTGAGGACACATTCTGGTGTCACAGGAACAACTAAATCTTGCAGCAGAAGCATCCTTACCTCCCCAAGTGAAGTGATGGCTTTGGATTACTGTGGTATGTGACCTCAGGCAAGTCATGTTTCTCTTTTTAAAAAAGATTAATTTTTTTAATTCCATTTTTCCAGATTTTATTTCGGTAACATTTCTTTTTATTTCTTTCTCTATGATGTGTGATATGTGATGTGCGCACATGGGCACACTCACAGGCCACATGTCTATTGTATCCAGAAGACACTGCCAGATCCTCTGGAGCTGGAGTTACAGGTGGTGGTGAGCTGCCCAATTTATGTGCTGGGAACCAAACCTGGGTCCTCTGCATGAGCAATTTATGCTCTTAGCCGCTGAGTCATCCTTCCAGCCCCATCTTTCCTCTCTTGACCAACAATTGCCCTGCTTGCTTCTCAGAGAGTTCTATAAAGATCCCACAAAACTGGAAACAACAGAGCTTTGCCAGAAATTGACAACTGACCCCCTACACCCAACAGGAGGGACTAAAGAAAGACTCCAATTACTATGATGCCCTTACCTCACAGTTTTGGTGAGCTTGGCCTGGCTCTGTAGCGGAGTGACAAGCATGGTGGAGGTAGTGGGGACCTCCTCATCCACAGACAGTCCTAACTCGAGACTTGCAGATGGCTGGAGACCTGTGTGTTGAACCGTTGCTTTCTCCAGGGAAGGGTTACCCTTGTCCTGGAGGGAAGTTTTGGTTCCGACCCTGGAGCTGGCTTTCCGGATAGTACTGGTAGAGGGTGTGGAGGCCTGCGGAAGTGCTTCCGGTGTTTCAGTACTCTCCTCCTCATCCTCAATCACCACCAAGTCCTTAGGCATTTCCTTAAACTGGTATACCAATCTCCTTCTTGTCCCTCCAGATATTACTACCAGAGAGGAATCCTGGCTAAAGTGGAAGGGCAGAGATTGGTAAGTTTACTAGAGGTTGAGTAAGGAGGCCTTTTCTCTCCATCTGTCTCACATGCTACTCTCTAAGGCAGGGCAAGCATGGGACTCAGGCAGTCTGGGCTGGGGCAGTCCAAGAGAGGGGGGTTGGGGTGGGAAATAGCCAACTCTTGGGCAAAAAGGGCCTTTTAAGACATTTTAAAGTTTCTACAGTATAACAAGTGTCCAAAAAGGGGTCTTCCATGCCAACCCCCATACTACTTTGGAGCTGAGGACAGTGAGTAAGTGAAGAGTAGAAATGAGTGAAGAGATGGATGGTAGAGGCCCAACAATTAGCCTGAAGACACATCTCTGGGACAACTTAAGGCCATCTCTGGCTCCCAAAATGTAGTGAAAGCCCTTTGTAGAGATTGGCTGTATGTGGAGCTAAACTACCCTTTCAATACAGAGAAGCATGAGGAAGCATGAAGAAGAAAAGGGCAGTGTTATATCCACTTCCTAGAGGGGACTGGTCAGGCCTTTCTTCAAGTGGGAAAGCCATAGGAAGATCTTAGTGATCCCTCGGGGCAGAAATTCTGTGTCCCAGCAGCTCCTACCTTAGGGCCCGCCCCATGGTCTCATAGTTCATGTCAGGCTTGTTTTTCTGCTTGCCCCACAGCTTGGACACAGCCTTGGAGTCCACCAACTTGAAGATGCCTTTTTCTCTCTGGGTCCACTTGATGTACTTGGGGCAGGTGTTTCTGTCTTGCAGAAGGGCCAGGAGGAACTCCCACAGATAAATGTTGCTACCTGCAGAGGGGTAGGCAGTGAGGAGCCACTCAGGACTCTGAAATTAAGGGGCACCCTACCCACCTCACCTGAGCCCCAGCTCTACCTTTGCCATCCTTGGATTTCTTCCGTATGGGGACACTGGGGTCAGTGACAGGTGAGGTACTTCGGCTGTGCTTTGTCTTTCGGTCTATAAAGTGGGTAAAACAAAAGCTGAGGTCAAAGTTAGTTGGGCAAGCTGGATGGAACAGGACCAATCACCACAGGCAAGCCAGATCACTAAGGATAGGGGTTCAATCTTTCTCCATAGCAGCAGCCAAGAGGTATCTGCACCATATCAAGGCTACCACATAAGGAGATGCAAGATTTGCAAACAAGAGACCTTTAGATTACAAAGTTCAGAAGAGCAGCTAGGCCAGAAATTCCTGACCTTATTTTTTTGAAATGGCAGACAGCTTAAAGGTATTGCTGTGGTACAGGTCAGTGTGATACAGACAGAGGAGTAGGCATACTGGTGAGGTAGCATCAAGCAGCCATTCCCCTAAGTAAATCAATAACAAAGGGGCTTGGGAAAGCCCAAAGTCCTTGCATAGATGGCCTCTTTCATAAGTGTAATAGAAGCTAGATAAGCACACAGCATGATTCATTTTTATAAGGGAAGGTCCCTAAAGTCTAGAAACTAGCCAGGAGTCTAGGCATGGAATCCCAACACCCACCCTAGGATCCAATCAACTGGGACTACTGGCATTGCTACAGGAGTTTATGAATGTGCAGGACAGATAGGAGCAGCATGAGAGAAAGGCCAGGCTTTGGGAAGGACACCCATTAAAGCCAAGACTTACTGCTGGGCCAAAGAGTTATTTCTTAATGCATCTCTGAGCCTACTCCATCACCAAGGCTTTCCCCACCAAAGATGCAGCAAAGATACACCCCTCCCCCCATCCTTACTTCTCTTTCTTGGCTTCTCAAGCTTCTTAGGATTTTCCTCTCTGGAGACCCTCTCCTCCAGAGAATGCTCCTTCTGGTTACCAGTATCATTTGTCTTGTTCTGGTCATCAGGTTCAGTGGCAGAAAACAGGAAGTTGGGGAGACTGATGGTCTGAACAGAGTCTGAGTCTGGAAGCATTTCAGGAGTGCTGACTGCAAGAAGAAAGGGCTGTGGTGGGCAGAGCCAACAGCAAGAGTAGCCCTCCTCTTATCTCTGGTGCTGTGGCTCCAGAGTAAATTTGTCAGCACTGGGGAGGGTGGGAATGCCATTGTCCATAGCTCCAGACATAAGATACACCTAATGTTGCCTCAGGTGTTTTGCCCCAAGAGAGGAGGAAAAATCTGCAGTGCTATAGGCATGATTGGGCCCATACAATGGCTCCATTTATCTCTCACTACTGGTAGTGGAGAAGGTCCAGGCTGCATTCAGATAAAGGACTTGAATGATTTAGTCATTCACTCATCTGACAACTCAAAAGGACTCCAGAAATCATTAATCCCAATTCCTCTGCTTTCTTGATAAGGAAACAGAGAGATGGCAAGTCATGTGCCATGGTCACACAGCAACAGTGGTACATGTTGGCATTCAGTCAATATTTGTTGAATATTAGTGAGAAGTTTGGGGAGCAATGTCTTTTAGCCTCAGAGATTTTTTTTTTATTTTGTCTTCACTATACCATAGTGCTGTCTTGGGCAAGGGTAACTGAGTGGAAGATTCTTTAAAAGGCATCAGAGCACCTTCTGTAGAAGGAACTGAGAAGAACTGCCTTAGGGGTTCTTCTAAGGAGCTTGGGGCTATGGAGGATCAACAGGCTTCTATGCCCTCTTAGAATCTGGCCTTCAAAAAAGGGCAACAGGTGCTGTGAGATGGTTCTGTGGGTAAGGCACTTGCTGCCAAGTCTTATGACCCGAGTTCGATTCCCCAGGACCCACATGGTGGGAGGAGAGAATCAACTTCTCAAAGTAGCCCTCTGAGCTCTACACCCATGCCATGGCATGTGCACACCCCACACACACCCACACATAATATAATTTAAAATTTAATAAAATATTTCTGAATACATGGAATGGATAATTCATTCAGTTTGATCGGATGGAAATGACTCTAAAGATGGTGGAGATAGCTGCCCAGCAGTGTGAAACCACTTACTACTGCTGAGTTTCACCCTGAAAAATGACTAAGCTGACATGTTTGTTGTATGTATATTTCCTACCGTTTAAAAATTGGTGAAATAATACCAGCATTTTTCTGGTCTCCAGTGCCTTCCTGACCTTTTCCTCTCAGTCCAGGCTTGAGTCACTTCACATGTACATTGATGGATGAGAGTACCTAGACCTAATGCATATGTGCCTGAAAATCCAGTGAATAGATGCATTGTGGACATTTTATCACCTTGACTTTAGGTACTCAAGTTCAAACTTACAGATCTGCTTCTCATCCAGGACATCGTTGGGAGTTTCCACATTGAATAGGACTTCCGTGGATGACACGTTATTAGAGGTAGACTCATTGTCATCTGGTTCCAGGTTCCATGAAGTAGGAGGAGGGAAGAAGAGTCAGGCTTCAGAACAGTTAATAATGAGGATCAACCTCAGGTAAGACTCTGTGGTACAGCTGGGCAGCACCAGAGATCCTCTCACCTATGCCCCCTCCCCAAACTGGTTTCTACTCTTTGTGTCAACCTGTCTGAGGATTTTTTGAATGGATGAAGATGGTTCCCTCCTCTTTTGTGGTAAACCTTGGCCATTATGTGGGGTGCTGTTCCCTGAAGATAGAAGTCCTTTCTCTGCCATACACCTTCCCCGACCAGCAAACGAACAGACCTGCCAGCAAAATACTGCCTTCTAGGATCTGATCCTGTGCCATGCACAAAGTCCTGTCCCTTATGATGCCATTGTGGACTTCATCCAAATCCATTCCTGAGTAGAGATGCAGTAATTCAGGATAAGGGACCTGCTCCACGATGACAGCTGGAAACACTGAAGGGTCTTCGAGCTATGGAGAAGAAAGAAATCCTGGTTCAGTACTCACTTACTTCTTCTGAGATGCCCACCCTACCAGATGGCAAGGCCAACCTCACTGGGTGATTTTTTAAAAAAAAAAAATATTTCTTATCTTATGCATTTTGGAGGTGGGGCATACCACAGCATGTGTATGATCAGAGGACAACATGTTAGATTCTCTTCTTTCATCATGTGGGCCCTTCTGGACGATGGAACTCAGATCATTAGGCTTTGCAGTAAGCACCTTTAATTGCTAAGGTATCTTGCCAGCCCCTAGGTCATGCTTTAAGTGGGATCTTAATTAATAGAGAGGCTTAGCTCAGCAGGACTTGCACTTAGCCAAGTACTTCGTGTGTATGCAGTACTGGAGATAGAACTCAATGCCTTGCACATGCTAAGCATGCACTCTACTCATGCACTCTACCACTGACATATAGCCCCAACCTGAGAAAACATTTTTTTCATTTGTTGAGTTAGTCCATGGTCTGAGGTGAGAGCTGAGTCTATGAGGAGCCACTAGTGGGAAGTGATTGGTTGATGGCAAGGCTGAGGGTACAGGCACTTTGCAAGGACTCTGAAGCTGCATGTGACTAGTGGTCCTTTACTGCACTACACCAATATAGAACCTGCTAGCATACCATAAAATTTGATCAGATTGCACTGATCTGGAACCAGTTTGCCTGGATTGTAAACTAAAGTCTGCTGTTTCCTAGCACCGTGACACTAAGGTAGTTTCCTAATCTTCCTGTGTATCAGTTTCCTTGTCCATAAACCAGGACACTCATATTATTGATCCCATAGATTGTTTAAATAGATCAGAAATATAATGCACTAACAATAGGGTCTGGCATAAATTATCATTAAGGTATCTGGATCTTCTGAGAGATAAATATTGTTTCTTTTTAAAATTTCATTGTTTTGCCTATATGTATCTACGTGCACCACATGAGTGTGTCAGATACCCACAGAAGTCAGAAAAAAGTTGCTTGGAACTGGAGTTATAGCCAGATGTAGGTGCTGGGAACTTAACCCCATGTTTTGCTTCTTAACCTGAGTACATTCGTGTTCCTTTTTAGTTTGTCTGTCCGCCTATTATCTATCTATCTATCTATCTATCTATCTATCTATCTATCTATCTATCTATCTATCTATCTATCTATGATATATGAGTTCTTTTATATTTGTGACATTTAAGAGCAAGGATTGTTTTCCATGAAGAGGGAAAGGCAGATGAGAACAGAAAAGCATTGGGTAGAGACTGTCCTGTGAGAAAGCATTAGATATTATTTTGAAGTAAGAAGGCAGAAGGACTAGGGACACCCTAGGTGTTATATCTGATAGGTGTGAAAGATGAGAGACTGGAGGAGAAGCTGTGTGCTGAGTGGAGAGGGATGCTTGGGAGTTTTAAAAAAATGGAATAGCTACTGAGAGGAATGGAAATAAATGAAAGAATCCAGGTAAGGTTCAGCTTTTCTTCTCTTCTTATCTGATCCCTTCCATAAGACTATATAATACTCCAGAAGAGACAACAACAGGTGACCATGCTGAGTTATTTTGTCCAAGAACCAGCAATCCAGAAAGTACAATGTGCTCGAGGCTCACTAGAGGGCAGCCTTTGGTACACCCAGTAAAAGAGTCTTCTACCCGCCCATAAAGAGAGCCAGTTTTGGAAATACTCAGATAGATCTTCTCTTGGACAAGCTTTGGCAGATAGCAGCCAGATAGGACAGGGGAAAGACTTGGGTAGGTGACATTGTATCCCAGCTGAGATTAAACCCCGGAAATGTTTATTTCTACTCTCCCTTTCCTTCTTCCACACCTGCTTCATCTTTCTCCTTTTTGTGAAAGAGCGGAGTGGAAAGCTGTGGAACATCTAGCGGCAGAGAAAATGTGTCCTCCTGACTTCATTGCAACACAAGGGATATAGTAATGGGGACCAGAATACCATAATCTGATCCTATCCTGTTTTCTAACTTCCTCCTGCCCAAAGACCCCATTTCTGGCATGTCCTGAATCCTCAGGCTGAAAAGACTAAGCCCATGAGCCTGTCAAGAGCCATGAGTCTGAAGATGCTAAGACTCCAGTTCCATACTTTAAGTCCTGCTGGCAGGGTTCTCTTTGCTATGTAGTTGTCTCAGCAGTTTTTTTTACTCTGACACTGGGGCTGAAGAGAAGTAGCAGACACCCTACATTATGTTCAGTTGTATGTAAGCATCAGTTTAGTTCCATTTCCCAGTTGACTCATAGCTCAGCCAGTTTGCTTAATAATTGCTTGGCTAGCTTAGTGACTACATGTGCCGTAATGGCATGTAACCAACCTGCTCCCTAAGGGACCATTGAAAGACTCCTAGGGGTAGCTGGTGTAGAGGTTGGCTGGCAGGCAGGCCCAGTGTTCTAACAAAGCAGGTGCTTGTTAGGTATTTGCTGACTAGCTGTCAAGCCCCACTGGACTCATGCTCGCTGTTCATGTATATGTCCCCATGATTGCCCATATTAACTGAATATGTTTTATTCCCAGAAACCATACCTGGTGGATATCATCCATCTCGTTGCTTGCAAACTCAAAGACCAGATCACTGGGCTGCAAGGCAATAGCCATACTGGTTTCTGCCAGAACTGACAGTGAGACTCCCCCGGGTCCCTGGAGCTCTGGTGGTTTCCTGATGAACAGATGTTATTCAGATACCTTAAGATCAATTTAGTGCCTTCTCTGAGCTTCTGTGAAGGTTATCCAGAGTCGGAGTGGGTGTGGCCTATGCCAGGCTCAAGACTGCATGCTGGGCTATGCCAACCACAAGAGTAACCTAAGGAGAAGGGAGAGATGGAGAGTATGAGTAAGCCAACTTCCTTCAGCTCAGTGGTCAAATCAGCTGGTGAACCTGAGAGGATCTGCTGTGCCTGGACAGACTTCCAGCAGAGAGATAGTAGAAAGGGACCTTGCCTGGCTTTGGGCAGTAGGAGGAAAAAAAATCTCTATCCTGGCTTGAGAAAGCCTCATGTAAGTGTAGGTTTGAGGGGACACAGGGTATTTGAGCACTCAGTTTATCTTAGAAGTGAGGACCAGCTGGCTCAGAGGAGCAGTCTACAGAAGAAGATATGTCTCACTTGGGGTGAGGGGAGGGGTGTCAAGGCTCATAGGTCATAAGCCTTGCATGCTCATTAGCAACCCTACCCCCACTGCCCACCTCCGTGCAGTGCTGCATGGGAGTTCTGTGTTCTTGGCTTAGCTTTGCTTTCAGTTTCAAGAGTGAACTGTCACCCTGGGAACTTGTGAGCAGAGCTCTGGCTGGGGGAGGGGCCAGCAGAACCTTTCTCATCCTCTATAGCTGGCTCATCCTTCATATTCCAGGAAATCTCAGTCTGCTGAAGCCCACACGAGGCACTTCCCCAGTGCTTCCTATGCTAGTAAGGAATTGAGGCTGCCTGTTTTTTCCCTTGCCTCTACTACTCTGCTGCCAGAGCCCCAGGGTACTTCTAGGATGATCACACCCGTGGACAACTCCCAAAGCCCTCATCTTCTGGCTCCCTCCATTCCACCTGGAACACACTGGCCTTTGCACTTGTACAGGTACTAGGTCTTTTGCCCTTAGGGTTACTTTGAAAGTGTGATGTGTTTTCATTGTGTGCATAACTACAGTTAGACTGATTCTACCACTACAGCCAGGAGAACCCGGGCTACCCTCGAGAGCACACATCCCAACTCCCAAACACTCTGTCGGTAGTGCCAGGGTGGCAAAACCTTATCCTGGCTGGGAAATAAATGAGGAACTTCAGATGGGGGCCAAAGAGGGGTAAAAGAAGAGTGCCACAAGTGACCTCTCTGATGACCGATCTCCTCCACAGGAGACACCCAAGCCTCTCCCACTTCCTTTCCGTTAGCCCACAGGCCTAGCCCTGCCCAGTCTCCACCCCCACACCTTTCCACCTACTCCATCAAACAGCTTGGAGAAGTTACTCAGCTCAACTTTAACCATTAGAATCAAATTTCCCTTTGGATGGAAGAGAGAGCTCTGCTAGGTCCATCTTCAGAAGAACTGCAGGGGTGGAGGAGTTCAGAGTGGTAGTGATAACAGCCTTGTTCTGGTTGAGTCAGTCCACCTTGCCCCACCCAAATCTGCATGTGACCCTTTCCCTCTGTGGCCTGCAAGACCTTGCAGGACCGTTTGTGTCTGGGTCCCCCAGCCTAAATGCCCTCAAGGCCTGCATTCCGCAGCTCCTACCTTCCCATGGGCCAGTCTGTCTGCCCTTGGGAAATATTCTCATACTAATCAAATGAAAGATGATTACTTTCATATAAACCTTCTTGGTCTACGCACGAAACTTCTGCATCTGCTCCTGCCCCAGGTCATTTACTGGGGCCCTGTCTTTCACATTTCTTTGTCTTGTTTTCTCTTCTCGGTGTTTCATTTTCAAAAGTTTTGCTGCTGCTATTTGCTTAGGGAACCTCTTTGCATTTTCCTTACCTCTCCTATCAGACACTGGCTTCCTTGACAGTAGGGATGACTATGGGTCATTGATAAAGCATACACACCTTGCCTTGTGCTTGGTTTATGGAATAAATACAAGAAAAAAAAAAAGGAGCAACAGTGGGCATGGTGGCTTGTGTCTGCAATCCCAGTATATGAGGATGGGGTGGATAGATCACTGTGGTTTAGACGCTAGCCTTAGCTAGAAAAACCAGGCTTGGGGAGACAGCTTAGTCTTTAAAGTACTTTCCATGAAAGCATGACCACCTGAGTTCAATGCCTGAAAAAAAAAAAAGTTAAAAATCCAGACAAATTGAAGCATGCTTCTATTCCCAGGGCTGGGGCAGTGTGACAGGACGATTTCTGGGACCTGGTGGCTGGCTAGCCTAGTCTGTGAGCTCCAGGGTAGCAAGAGACCCTCTTTCAAACAAACACCAAGGTGGATGGACAATTCCTGAGAGGTTGATCTCTAGACTTCCAAAGGCATGATATATACACATGTGGATTAGCATCAGTACATATGTGCACCCACATGAACACACTACCCCCATGAAATACACACAAAATCAAACCAAGAGAAATAAATTTCAAAAATAAAAAAGAAAGAAGGACCAAAACAAAAAAACAAATGAGTAAATGGATGATACTGGTCTACAGGTATCTGTGATATAATTTTGAGACATATATAGCTAAATGTACAATGTGTGAGGAGAAATGTGCAAACACAAAGGTTACATTGATACTATTTTTTTACATTGTTAGTTACACAGGTACACTATCTGTCTGCTGTGAGTATGCAAACAGACCACAGATATAAGTGCATGTTCGGGGTGTGTGCATGTGTGCAAGTGTGGGGACATGTTCGTGACAGTCTCTATGTGTCAAAGGGCTGCCCTGGTCTGGCCAGCTTGCAAAGCCACAAGCTCAGTCATAGGTTCCTTCTCCAGCTCCTTCAGAGCAAGCAGCATGATCTGCCTTGGTGAGAATGACAAGTCCAAACAAATGCTGTGGAGAAAATGGGGGCAGAGGCTAGGCAGGCCAGGTGCCTGCTGGTCAACAAGGATATTTGACTGTGTGCTTCCCAGGGACAAAAAGCCAACTCCAGCATAAGTATAGAACCTATGGGTTCTCAGGTGAGTGATCCCCTACCCTAGATCCACTCTGCTAAAGAAGTGATGGGAAAGAAAAGTCCCCAGAACACTGTGTTGGATTGAAATGTCTGTAGCCATCAGTGTAGAAAATCAAAATGAGTTTGAAACCAGTGGTAATTCCAGTAGCATTCTTCTATGTACCTGCATGTTTGGTATCTAAACTCCATCTAGTTGGGAGATCTTAGAGAACTATCTCCAGAGATCTGCATCTGCCTGGAGCTAAGGAGTGGAGGCAGGAGATGTGGCTGCCCAACTCTTTAGGTAAGGCTAAGAAACCTATCATGGAAATTTTCAGTCCAGAAATTTCCCCCTCCCCCTTCAAAAGTTTGAGGATTTGAAAGTGAGAGGTGGAGAAAGGCTCATTTGCATATTCACTCACTCTCCCCAAGTCCCTCAAAATAACCCCCCTCTCCCAGGAACTTGAAACCAAAGAAGCCACCACCATAGAAGCCACACCCTATGGGAGAGAAACACATGGAAGGTTCTCCTCTCCAGAGTCCTCTCAAAGACCTTTGGCTAGGCCACAGCTTCAATGGTTTATTGTCCCTCTGGACACTGCGTTGCTGAGTGGAGGTCAGAGGACACAAATGCCTCCAGGTAAAGTCTATTCCCAAGTCCATATTACTGGAATGGAAAATGATGCCTGGTTGGTACACTGAGAGCTGATGTGCACTGCAAAAGTGTGTACCACAAGAGGGAGCAAAAAGGCCAGGCTGCCTGGAAATACACACCTCTGGCTCTGCCATTCTGAGTGCTCCTCAGAACCAAAGCAGCATAAGGTAGTTTAGGGTGATTCTGCATCAGCACAACTAGGCCCCCTTCAGACATAGACACTAGCTTCCTGGAACTGTCACTGGAACACATCAAGCAGCATCCAGCGTACACCCACGTAGGCCTTCCCTACAGGAGGCAGCTCTGATGGGAAAGTCACATCCACAATCTCTACCAAGGGAGTTTAAATCTAGGCTTGATCAACTGAGTCAATGACTCTCAGAATTACTGGTAACACCCATGGCATTTTTCACACATGCCAAGAAACATGGGGGCCAGATGGTCAGCTGGGCCACACAGCATAATTCTCCAGTTCCCCATCCTCTCAGAGCCAACTGTCACTCCTAAAATACCTCGTTCTCCATGAAACCTTTCTGGAATTCTTTGGAAAGGAAATGACAATTTCCTTCATGTCATTTCCCGCTCCTGTACCACCCCTCCCCCAATAGCCACAAACAAAATGGAAGCTGTCCCAGCAACAGAACAGTTGTCCCCTCTATGTAAAAAAGAAAAAGAAAAAAGCATGGAGATCATGCCTGTTATACCATGTGACCACTGACCTGTATTTAAAATCGAGAAGACCAGAGTTAGGAATGGAGTGTGCAATCCTAGATAGAGTAGAACTAAGCCATCTGCAGAACTCAAACCCACAACCTTGTCCCCGTTAAGGCTGGCCTTCAATCAGCCAACCAAATCCTCTTTCTTGAGCAAGTGCCCAGTAAAGTGGCTCCAGCCACAGCTATGTTGTCAGCTCCTTCTCCTTTGTTCCTTTCTGTCCACTGCCCCCTCCACTGGAGACGAAATCAGGAAGGGGAGGAGGAAAGGTTTTGCAAGGTTAAGGTTTCTCTATTATTTGAAAATATCCAGGTTCCTAAACTGGGTGTAGTGGGACATGCCTTTAATCCCTAAACTTAGGAGACTGAGTCTTGAGGATCCTGAGTACAAAGCCAAACTGTGCTACAGAGCAAGGCCTTACCTTAAAAAAAATCTAAGGCTGGGGATGTAGCTCAGTTGGTACGGTGTTTGCCTAGCATGCAAGCTGTGTTAAACTGGGCATGGTGAGACACACCTTTAATCCCAGCACTTGGGAGGTAGAGGTAGGTGGATCTCCAGGCTAGCCAGGTCTACATAGTGATTTTCAGGCCAGGGCTACCAAAACAAAACAAAAAAGCTGGAGTTATAATTCCCAGCACTGCATAAAAGGCATGTTGACACATGTTATCCCTGCACAGGGAAGGTTGAGATAGAAAGATCAGAAGTTTAAGGACTAGGTTACATAGCAAGTTAAAGCCAAAAAAACAACGACAACAAAAAAAAACCCTTCCCCAAACCAAACAAAAACAAATCAATAAAAAAATAATGTGAGAATTAATAAAACAAAACAAGGAAACCCAAGGAGGAAATAAGTAAGAACACTAGAAAGCAGTCACACAGAGCAAAAGCTTTGGGTGACCTCCCAGAGGGCAAGGGTGTCCAGGCACACCATTATCTCTCCTGATGTCAGGATTGTGGGAGTTGGAGGGTTCCAGTTGTTGGCTGAGAAGAAACTCCTCTCCTGGGTTGGGGGCTCTGGGGTGGAGTGTTCTGCCCCAAACCGTGTCACCCTGCCCAGCCCTTTGGGTTGTGGTTATGTAGCAAGAAAAGCACTACTGAAACCCTAATGTAGGAGAGGAAAGGGAGAGGCAGGGGGAGGAGCCTGACAAAAGGAACCGATTTCCTCAGACACTCTGAGAAATCTCACTGAGTGCTGTCTGGAGGGCCCTGGGGCCACCACATCCTCCTCTCTAGTGCCTCGGGGAAGAAGAGGCAAAGATGGGAAAACAGACTGTAGGAAGACAGCAAGACTCGGTCCTAGTAGCTACTGATCCTGAGCATGGATGTGTTGCCAATTACAGCCTAGAAGGTTTAATGGAGGTCCCTACAGACCCTAAGCCTAGAAGGGGCAACAGAGTTCCCTGAAGACCCTAACAGCATGGATGTTCCAGGTAGAAGACCTAGATCTGCCTTGGAACTTAGGCAAGTCATTACCCTATGCAAAATGGGCCCACTAACTAGTCCTAGGGGCTCTTGCCAAGGGCAAAATGAATTAATGTAGGCAAAAGCTCCCTGGTGAGCCCCAAAGCAATCTGACATTCCCCAACACACACTTCTTCCCCGCTTTCTTTCTCTTTTCTCCCCCTCTCATTCTTTTGAATTTTTAAGAAGAAGCATCACTGTGTAGCACAGGTTGGCCTCATATTCAAATCAATCGCCAAGCTTCAGCTTCCTGAGTACTAGGATCGCAGACATGAGCTACCACACATGGCTCTAAACATATTTTTCAATCTCCTGGTCTGATTTATTATTTGTTAGGCTTGGTCATTCTGCTTGCCAAGAACTCTGAATGTTTTACCTAGATAAAGAGGAAGGAAGGGAAATGGACATAGTGGGATGAAATGAAGGCTGACAGGCCACAACCAGTAACTACTAAATTCATGGAAAAGCCGGGCATAGTGACACACTATGGTTCCTGCTATTTGAGAAGCTGAGGGGGGAAGATCTGAGTGGAGTTCAGAAACATTAGCAAGACCTTGTCTACCCCTAAATAAAAAATAAATAAATAAAATTTATGGTCTAGCTGGGTGGTGGTGGTACACACCTCCCAGCACTTGGGAGGCAGAGGCAGTCGAATCTCTGTGAGTTCAAGACCAGCCTACTTTACAAGAGAGAGTTCCAGGAGAGCCAGGGCTACACATTGAAGAAACCTTGTTTTGAAAAAAACAAATCAACCAATCAATAAAAATTAAAAAAACATGGTAAAGAAAGGTAAATAGTTTGACCTGGGAGCAGAGAGTAAGATTTGTTGGGGATTGGGTAGGTCAATAAAAGCTAAATACAGACAGTGGAATCTGAACTGGGACATCCGGCTGACTCCTGAAGAAAGGCAGGGCATGGAAAAGCAATTCCTTAGGAAGAGTAGTTTGATCTGGTTACAAAAGAGCCCCTGAGTGGGGGAGATGGAAGCTGACCAGGTCGGGCAACTGAACCCAGGAGATGGATCCAAGAGCCACAAAAGTCTGTGTTTCACCCATGAAACTCATAATGGAAGGAGAAAACTGACTTCCAAAAGTTGTCCTCTGACCTTCATACATGTGCCACTGCACGTGCACACCAGAACATACATGTTCACACAGTAATAACAATGACAATAACAAAAATATTAAAAGATGTGGTCAGAGTAAGAAATAAGGCTGGACAAGAAATTTAGCCTGGGCCCTTTGAAGCAGGGATCATTTTGAAAAACACCAGAGTTAATGGGAGAAAAGATACAGATGGACATTTCCGAAACTTCTGTCTTTTTGTTTGTTTTTTGACTCAGAGCTTCTCTATGGAGGCCAGGCTGCAAACTCACCATCATCCTGCTTTGGCTTCCACTTATGCTGGGGTATCACACTACCTCTGAGAGTCTATCTTGTCTAGTCCTAGCCTATGTCTATAGGGGGTAGGAAAGGAGGAAGAGAAACATGGACCAAAGACTAAATTCATTAATGGATTTTTTAGAAGCTGGGGTAATCTGTGACTCAGCATGAAAGAATATTAAGTCAGATAACTTTTTACTGAAGGAACAGTGCTCTTTGTCAATGCCCCTGGCAGTGTGTGTCCTAGGAACTGATATGGAGGCTCCTTGCTCAGCCCTGGGATCCTGAGTAGCAGGGGCTGTGATGAGTATCCCTCCCAGTGAAGCATGGAGTGCAGGAATCCAGGTGGAAGGGCAGTGTACTAGATTGCCTACACAAAAGGGATGAAGCCAAAAAGGCTGAGGTAGAAAGCAACCCAGTGGTGCCTGGCCAGACCAGAGACAGGCAGCTTTGGCTCCAGAAGTATTGAAGAACACCTACCCCGGGGTTTTGCCTTTTCTCTCCACACACTATTGAAACATCTGAAACCAGAAAGTTAGAAGGAATGTAAAAGATCACCCTTGTCTCTCTTACCTGAGTTCCCAGGGGGTGGTGGAGTGACTTATTCAAGTTCTCACTGATTTAACCTTCCTTCTCTCCTCCTCTCTCTGCATCCTCAGCAAAGTTAACCCTTTCCTCTGTTAAAAACAACAGCAGTGGCATCATTGGTGGAGTCTTTAACTCCAGCATTCGAAGTCTCTTGAGGCAAGGCAGATCTCTGTGTGTTTGATACCTAGCCTGGTTTACATAGGGCATTTCAGGCCAGCCAGGGCTACACAGAGAGACCCTGTCTCAAAAATAAAAATGAGCAACAGTGGCTAGCAAATAACAATGAAGCCACACATGTGTAGAATGCATTTAATTTTCACAGTGACTCCCCACTTCCACACCTTTGTTCACACTGTCCCTTAGGCCAGCCATGCCTCTCCTCAACTTCTGTGAGTTTAATTCCCTCAAGTCTTTCAAGATTTAAGTCAAATGTCACATTCTTTCTGAAGTCTTCCCTATTTTCTCCCCACATGGTATACTCTGCTGTCCACAGCCTAGCTTCACTTCTTAGATCCGAGTAGGAATTGAAAAACATATCAAAGAAGTTGTCACAAGAATGGAATTTTATGACACAGGAAAATGTTATGAAATTCAAATTTCAATGCCCATCAACAAAGTATGATCAGAACACAGCCATGCTTATTGGTTTGCACACTGTCTGTGGCTGCCTTTGCCATTCATATGGGCCCCAAAGCCTATAAAATATTTTCCATGTGGTCCTTTACAGAAACCTTTACATCATGATCCCTGGACTAAACACTCCACCTCCCCCTTCAGTGTGAATAAAGTCACCAAGCTCATTTCAGAGAAGAATGTCACAGAACCCTCGTGGGGGAGGTGCCTGGGGGAGGTATGGGATGCTAAATACAAACTCAGCAGATTTTCATCAGAAAGAGAATCTCTGGGTTAGAGGTCTGAGTCTTGGCCCTTGGCTCTGCCCATGGTGTTATCTCTAACAAGACAGTTCTGCTTTGTGTGCCTTGGTTTCCTCAGCTGCACAGTGAGGGGATGGAGAGGGCTGATCTGAAGCCATTAATCCCTCTGAGCTAGAAGTCAGAGATCCATGGTTTTCAACTTGCTGCTGCTAAGCAGCCTTGGTCCTAATCATTTGCTCTCAGAACAAGGACTCCAGTACAAAAGGTTCCTTTGCCCAACTGTTTTTCTGCTGTGCTGGCCGCTGCGGCCGGGTGATTTACCCCATACACACCTGCCTATGTTGCCTTTCCTTTCCGCCCTAATTCCTTTCCCTGCTAAGTGATGATGGCCTCTTCTGAAGCGGCTCTTTCCTTTACCCACTTCCCTTCTCCAGTGGGCTGCACAGAGAGCCTCCTCTTTTAAAGAGAAAGGAGATAAGGAAAAGGACTGTCACTTCTTAGTAGTCTCCCAGGGCTCACAGTAGTCAGGCAGGGGCCAGGACACAGGCAGCTCTCACCGCACCCCTGCTCTGTGAGAGGAAGCAGCCCCTCTCTACCACTTCCTGTCCCAGGGGTTTCAGCAGTTTCCCCTTCAGGGCCTAGTGGCCCTTGCAGCCCCGCCCCTGCTCTGCACAGGTCAGAAAGTGCACAGAGGGGAGGATCCCTCACAGGAAAGCAGAGGAGACAGCTGTCTACACAAGGGGATGCCCAGCGGCAAGTCCACCAGCCAGCCTCGTGGTGGGAGGGGGCCAGACAGAGAAGTGTTACTTGATGAAGGGGCAGCTGTTTCCACCACCTCAAATCACTTTACCTAGATGCACTCTTCCGAGATCTGCCTGGTCTTTGAAGACCTGAACTCTGAGTGCTGAGGCCATTGCCTGGTAGAGACTAGGACGGTTGGTTACAGATGGAGGGACAGGTTGAAACAAGAGGGTCTGGGGAAACCAGACCAAGGACTGGGGATTGGGTTAATTTAGAAGAGCAGGTGACACTGAAATCAATGTGACTTCATAATGTGTCAGGGGCTTGCCCTTAGTGCAGTAAACAGAGGTGATGATGAAGAAATATACTGTCTTTGGGTCAAAGGGCAGCAGCTTTTCTGAAGAAAGGAACAGTGAACTCTACAATTATATGGTGACTGCTGCTTTACTGGTAACTTACACCTTAGTGCCTCCCAGGAGTCCATGCAAGGTGGTACTCTTAGTAGCAGGGTTGGGTGAAATAGCCAGTCTTTTAAGCCTATGACCCACTCCATGAGATATCCCCAAGGCTGTGGGTCAGAAAAACATTAGCAGCCCAAGGTCCTGCAATCTACACAGCTGCCAGACCTTCAGGACCCAGTCTAGTACTGCAGTACGATAGTTCTGGAAACACTGGTTGCCTGATCTCAGTGCTTAGCAGGAGATGGACACCGCTACCTGAATTTCTCCAGGATAATATTGCTCAGTGAGGTTTAAGTGGCTGGAAAAAAAGCTTTGGAGGCCCCTAGAGGTAAAACTTATCAGTGACCAGCAAAATACACAAAGGGAAGATCCCGAAACCCCACTCAGCTGATAGGCCATCTTCTTCCACTGTTGGCCAAGAACCCTACCCAGCCAGGCCTCTTGTCAAAAGAGTAGGGTCCTTTGGACCCATGAGAGGGTTCAGCAGGTAAAGACAGCTGTCACCAACACTTAGGACGTGAATTCAGTCCCTGAAATCCACATGGTAAAAAACCTGACTCTTGTAAGTTGTCTCCTCATCTCCACATGTGCACCATGGCACACACATGCCCACACACATTCATACATGTATCACACAGAAAGTAAATGGGATGAACAGGTGGTTAAGAGCATGTACTGACCTTGCAGAGGACCAGAGTTTGAGTCCCAGTTCCCATTTGAGCAGCTCACAAATAACTGCCAGCTCCAGGAGGATCTGACACATCTGCACTCCACAGGTACCAGTACTCATGTGCACATACCCACACACAAACCCATACATATACACAGACTTGAAAATTTAAATCTAGGGATGGAAGAGATGACTCAGAGGTTAAGAGTACTGGCTGGAGAGGACATGGGTTTGGTTCTCAGCACCCACATCACGGTTTACAACTATCTGTAACTCCAGTTCCAGGAGACCCAATGTCTTCTTCTGGCCTCTTCATATACCAGGTCAGCAAGTAGTACACAGTCATACACGCAAAACACTTATCCATATTAAAGAAATAAATCTTTTTAGTATTAAAAGCTAAAATAAACAGATAAGTGCTATTTTTAAAATAATTTATAAAGAAAGCAGGCCCTTGCTTTTCTTCCCTACATACTACCCAAGACCAAGCACAAATAATTCCCTCAAGACACTTCTTCACTGTCCTTGAGGGGGCCAATTCCTTCTTCATTACTGTGTTTTTCAGTGAATACTACTTCACAGCTGGCTCAGGGATGCCAAGAAAGCCTCAGAGGCAACATCTGGATGCGCACCTGGGCTCCTACCAGTCTCTCCCTACATCTGCAGTGCAAACCCAGGGCCAGGGTTGGGTTACAAGCCGACTCAAAGCTGGAGGCACGTGTTTGGAAAGCACATCAAGCCTGGGTGGAGGGTGGTGGAAGCACTTGAGGTCGATGCCAGCTCAAGGAGAGCACTTGTGGAGTTGGCACCAGAGCAAGGACTGGGGCATGGGCGGTGGGTGTGGCTATTGTGGCCTCAGTCATAGCTTACTGGAGGATGGGCAGAGGGGTGTGGATGCTTGTTTAAATGTGGGCAAGATTTTCTTCTGAACTCTCTGATAGTACTTCAAGTTATTACCCCTGCTTCTGGGGAGAGGGGTCAGACAGTTAAAATTATAGAATGACAGGGTGGAGCACAAGGGGAAGGTGGTAGAGATTTACAGTTCTGGGCTATAAGCTGTGGGGCTGCTGTTACACTGAGAAGTCTATGAATATTGCCTCCTTTCATTCTTTTTCCTGAATTTGCAGTGCTTCAGACTGAACTCAGAGCCTTTCACGTGCTTGGCAAGTAAGTGCTCTACCACACAGTTAAGTCCCCAGCACTTGGTTTCTCTTGGTCTCTCTCTCTCTCTCTCTCTCTCTCTGTCTGTCTGTCTCTTTCTCTCTTTTTGTTTCTGAGACAGTGTCTTACTGTGTACTCCTGGCTAGCTTGGGACTCACTCTGTAAACCAGGAAGGCCTCAAACTTACAGAGATCTGCCTCCCAAGTGCTCAGACTAAAACCATGCTGATCATGCCAGGCTGTGCTTGATTTCATGAAACAGGGTCTCCTATGTAGCTCAGGTTGCTCTGGAACTCAGGATCCTCCAGCCTTGGCCTCTCCAGTGTTTGAATTACAGGTGTGTGCCACTGTAACCAGGTTTTGTTTCATATTTTTCTCCTTCATTCTTACAAGGTAGCTAGTGAGTGCTAGGGCTAGAGCTGGGATCCAAGTATGTTTTCAGCTGCTATTGTTTGAACGTTGCTTTTAGTGAAATCTGTTTTGGTGATAATCTTACTTTAACAATTCTATTTATTTATTTATACAAGGTCTAACCCTGCATGCCTGGCCTCGAATGCACTACAGGATCCAGGCTAGTCTCAAACGTGTGGTGATCCTCTGGCCTCTGCTGGGATTACAAGCCTGCACTACCAACCCGACTAGGAGATCCACTTTACAAACTGGAGAAAAGCTCCGAAGGAAGAGATTGGGTAACAAGACCAAAGTCACATTACCTGTCAAGAATTAGAGACAGAACTCAAATCCAGGCTTATGTGATCTTGATCTCAAAGTCCATACTCTTTCCTCTATGCATATTGTTGGCCATCTGTTGGAACTGAGGGCTCAGAGTCTAAGGGGCCCTTTCTACAGAAGCTGCTCAAGTCGAGGACCCATACCTCTTAATGCCTCAATTTCAACTGGAGGTCATTGTAATAAACCAATCCTTAACTTCCCAGACCAAGTCTCTATCAAAATGGTGGCAATATGCATGCTTCAATGACTTGCTTCAAGCTTTCAACCTCTGTATTTCACTGACCTGCTCTTACCAGAGGATTTGGGCTCTAGACCTAGAGTAGTCATGGCATGGTCCCTGCCCCATAAACATACAGATACTCTCAGCTTACACATAATGTTAAGTCTAGGTTCTTATCTTAGGGTGTGGGTTCATGTGTTTATTCAAATATTTATGGAAAACCAGCTCTG